TCAAGAAATCTGTCTAGCGGCTATCTAGTAAATAAGGTATAGGTGTAACATCGTAATTACTAGCCAGTCTCTAGACAGATTTTTTATGTCAAGAAATCTGTCTAGCGGCTGTCTAGTAAATAAGATGTAGGTGTAACATCGTAATTACTAGGCAGTCCCTAGACAGATTTTTTCATGTCAAGAAATCTGTCTAGCGGCTGTCTAGTAAATAAGATGTAGGTGTAATATCGTAATTACTAGGCGCAGTCCCTAGACAGATTTATTGATATTACGGAATATACAGCTAATGACTAGTCAGTGACAAGTTAGAAAACTTATCTAGTCCGTACTATCTAGGTACTAGATATTAAATCATATTTATGCTCAATAATTTATATAGACAATTCGAAACATCTCTATCGACAAGGTAGCAGTGGAGCAGTACGTTAGGTGAGCGACTCAGAAGCCTGGACTGTGGCTGGAGTCACGAGTTCAAATCCCCTCGTAGTTAAAAGTTTTTTCCTAGGTATTAGTGGCCCGTTCAGCACTTGAAGAGGACACAACAAAAGATGGATAGGAAATATAATTAATGACAATTATCTCTAGAAATTAGGTAGAAAATATGCTACAAAAAAATGTAGTCGAAAAAATGTTTTTTTTTCCTATTTAGTTACTGTCTAGTTAGGATAGACAGCTACTAGATAATTTTTTTATACAACTGCTAGGAGAATATTACTATCTAGTAGCTAGTTATGATTTTCTACGTCATGACTGTGTAACATTTTATATCTAGGTATTAGTTAATTTTTCTTGTACAGCTACTGGGAGAAATATTTTGTCTAGCTACTGGCTAATTTTTTTTGTACAACTCCTAGGAGAAATGAGCGTTACATATCTAGTTAGTAACTAGCCAGAAATACTAGACAGCAGTTATCTAAACATTTTGTCTAGCTACTGGCTAATTTTTTTTGTACAACTCCTAGGAGAAATGGGCGTTACATATCTAGCCAGTAACTAGCCAGAAATACTAGACAGCAGTTATCTAAATATTTTGTCTAGCTACTGGCTAATTTTTTTTGTACAGCTCCTAGGAGAAGTGAGCGTTACATATCTAGCTAGTAACTAGCCAGAAACACCAGACAGCAGTTATCTAAGACACAACTTTTCTAGCTAAGCGTTAGCTAGAAATGAGGTTCAATTTCTACTCGGGTATCTCCATTATTAATAATATTATTAATATATGCTTATAGGGGAAAGTTTTGCTGAATGCGTACCACTTAACGTATTTTTTATTTGGGAATTTTGTAGTAATAAGAAAATTCTGATATTTTAATTTTAATAGCAATTTATGATTGTTATCAATGTCTTTCTGTTTTAAGATAATCAATTTTGGTGGAATTACAGTTTTCTGATTAATAATAATATTGGCTTCATGCATACGTCGACATATTTGAGACAACGGCTTGTTAGCTGAATGTAAGAAATTTCTCATCGATCCTAAATGATTTTCAAATGGAAATGCGGATATTTCATTAAGCGTGCAGTTATGTATTCAACGTCATCTGCTAAATGCAGAAGATAGTGCGCATTTAATACGTAAGACTTTTCTCCATAAAATGTAGGTAAAAGTAAAAAATAATTTTTTAAATAAGATTTAGCAGCATCATTAAATTTTTGTGCAAAATTTTCCATACATAAAATTCGTAAAGCAATACTAAAAAGCAAGAAATGATTATATAAATCTCTATTTAAAATTCCTTTAAATATTATAGGACCAGCATATAATGCTATGAAGCGAAGTTCTGATGCTTTTAAATTTGGGACAAATGGCCGAGGTTTTCGTTGGAATTCATGTGGCACAAAAGGTTTTAAATGTATTATTCGTTTAAATAATTTTTGACGAAAACTTGATGTAAGTTTAACGGCAGTTTTGTTAAATATTAAGTCCATTACATAAAATTTTTTCGTGACACCCAAACAACACATATGCATATAATCTAAAGGAAAAGCGTGGATCATATCAATTGGTGGCTCTATATGTAATAATGGTGATATACTGATGTGATGTTCTTTTTGTTGCTGTCTTCTGAATGATTCATTTGATCTTTTAGTACAATCAGGATCAGGATAGACAACACGTTGATTTGGATATGTTATGCATTTTCCATAAACTTCACATCGTTCACATGCAGCATATCCTCCGTGTCCTTTAATCTGTTTTAAAAATTTTCTAGCCTGAATATCACAAATAATATGTTTTAACTGTACAGCATATTTCTTCTCATCGATATGTATTCCGTCTTTTTGAAGTAAATTTATTTCTTGAATAAAATCATTCATGTACTCTTCAATATTGCCTGGTTTTGTATCTCCATAATAAATTGCTATAGGAAAAGGAGAATATATATTTGGGTTGGCAAAAACTTTGCATAATATTGGCCATAATTGTTTCGTACTTGAAGTATACGGAGAAGCACCATCAACATTTATTTGAAGATATATAATACTATCCTGATGTACATTTGGATCTATACAAACATTAAGACCTTTTTCAATTCCCAAATAAACATATTCGCCGATATTATCACCTGTTCCATTCATTG